AAATCTAGGAATAGAATTTTGCAGTTTTTTTTTTATTATTTTTTTTAAAGAAAATACTACATTTGCTTATATATAGTATCGATTGATAGATATTTAGATAGATAGATAGATGCATGGCACATTGTTCATATGCAACGGATGACCTGTCTGTGAAGTTTATTCAAAGAACAATTGCAAACAACCCCACTCCAAGATCCAAGTCCAAATCTAATTTTAAAATTGTGTTTAAATCAATAATTTGAGGAGATATTTGTAGAGCAAAAAGAAGAAGAAAAAAAAAATCAATAAAATTGAAGCTATTTTTTCCGTACTTTCTTTTCTTTTTCTTCACAAATCCACACATTTGTAACATTTGGGGGAGTTAGATAGGCATTTAGGCCACGTTTGTTTGGCAGATTAGATTGGATGGGATTATTAGTAAGAGGATTGTTAGTGAAGAGATTGTTAATGTGTGGATTGTTAGTGAGGGGATTAAGTAAAAGTGTGTTTGTTTTGATGATAGTGTGGGAGATGATTAGTGATGGAATTGTTAAATTATTTTTATATAAAATAAATAAATAAATTATTTCTATATTAAAAAAAATTAAAACAAATATTAAAACAACTAAGAGCACTTGGTAAAAAAAAAAATAAAATTAAAATAATAAATTTTTTATATAAAATAGACTCAATCCCCTCACTATTTTCCTAATCCCACCTAAAATTCACCCAAGCTAATCCCCCAACAGAGGGGGATTACTAAGCCCCCTTCACTGCTAATCCTATCACATTGTGTTGCATCCAAACAAGGGTTTGGTGGGTCCCACGAATTGCTAATCCAATCCACCCTTCCAAATCCCCAATCAAACATGGCCTTAAAGTTGTGTTTCGATTATGAATTTTAATAAAAATTTAAAAAGGAAAAAAAAAGTAAAAAAAATGTGAACAAAATATAAACTTTTTATTTTTGATTTTTATTTCCTTTGCCTTTTCTCTTTCTTTTCCGCTTTCCTCTTCAAACCACATAAAGAAAAAATTATTAAATGCACTTCGAGATGAGTCCACACCAATCACCAATTGAAATATCTCATATTGTCTTTCCAAATATTAATTACACAAACAAAAGTTATATATCATTCACATTCAAGACTTTAAAATAGCAAGCAGTGACCACCACTTCTCCACTTGAAGAGGTAAATGAACTCTCACAGCATACTGCCAAGTTTGCAAACAGAGTGTGCTTTAAAGATCCTGACTCACACCATAATTCAAATGCAAAGAACATTTTCAACCAAAAGAGAATAGCAGTAAGACTTCATAAAGAATGTTGGTGATGACTTTGTTCTCACAATTTAATGTGTTGGACCCCTCTACTCTACTGACCTCCTTCTACTCACCTCCTTCTAATTCTGTAAAGATTAACCTTAAATTCTTTCATTTCAAATTTATTACTTGTCTAAATGAAACCAAAGTTAATAAGAAGCAGTTGGGGTGGTTTACAATATTAAATGATATATATCATCAATAAAATTTGGCAATCCCATGTCGATTGAAAATTAGGGTGTTTTAATCTTTTTATTTTTTGTATGTGTGGAAATGCTCAAGTTATTCTCCTATATATATATATATTTCGAATCCTCAAAAAAGTACAACAAACAGTGAGGGTTATTATAAGGAGATGTGGACTAATGTCATTGATTTTTATTCTATGAATGAATTAAGTTGGAATAGAAGTAATATTTTGTATGTCCTTAATTAAAACTAGAATTTATTTCTTGGTTTTGAATTTTCATAGTGTAAAGTCAGATTACTTATGCAGTGTTTGAATCTTAAATTTGTGGACCACAAGTATAGATATAAATTCTTTTCCTAAAATAAATAGTGCCTAGATTGCGACCTCTATAAATATGAGAATTACACACCTCACTGTTAGTATATAATTGCATGAACATATTGGAAATATGAGAATTTTGAAACTTTCTAATTATCACTTCTCCTTTCGAAAGATATGTATTATAAACAAACTACAACATCAATTTGTTAATTTTATGAATAGTCATTATCAAAGTCTATCGAAATTCCGTAGTACTCTATAATTTCAAGGGGAAATTACATCCTAGTATAGAAAAAAATTTATGACACAAATATTGGAGGAGTGCAAGTCACACTTGCATCTCTATAATTTTTAACTTGCACCTATAACAGAATTACTTGCACCCCACATATTTTTGTAATTTTTTTCTCTGTGCCCCACTATGCTATAAATTTCTCTTTCTATTCATTTCTTGCCAAACCATCTCATCCAAATAAACTATAGTTAAATGGACAGAGAAAAAAACAAAAGTGACAAAAATAAAAGTTAAATGTGTCACTTTCTCTTCTTTGTACAAAAATTACTATTCAAACTAAAGATCCAAATTAGTACCCAAGAAAATGGAGAAGAAGAAAGAAAGAAGGAAAGAAAGTAGGTATGTATGTATGTATGTACGTGTTATTACTTTTTTCTCCATTGTGAGTCATTGATCCATCTAAACACGGTGTGAAACAAAGACTTCATTTGACTTCCTCGCTGTAATTTATCAACAACCTCCCACTTTGGTATCCAAAGAAAATGAAGAATAAGAGAGAATAGTATTGGCTACGGAGGCCTCAAAGTGAAAAAAAAAAAAAAAAGTAGTTATAATTTTTTTATGTTTATAGGGAGAAACTTTGAAATTCAAATTTTTATCCATATGCCATGAAGTTAATTTTCATTTCAATTAATCAAACAATTAAAAAATAGAGGAAAAAGTAAAACATGAAAGGCAATTTAGGAAAGAGGAAATTTTAAAATTATGAAAATCTAGGAATAGAATTTTGCAGTTTTTTTTCTTATTATTTTTTGTAAAGAAAATACTACATTTGCTTATATGTAGTATCGATTGATAGATATTTAGATAGATAGATAGATGCATGGCACATTGTTCATATGCAGCAGATGACCTGTCGGTGATGTTTATTCAAAGAACAATTGCAAACAACCCCACTCCAAGATCCAAGTCCAAATCTAATTTTAAAATTGTGTTTAAATCAATAATTTGAGGAGATATTTGTAGAGCAAAAAGAAGAAGAAAAAAAAAATCAATAAAATTGAAGCTATTTTTTCCGTACTTTCTTTTCTTTTTCTTTACAAATCCACACATTTGTAACATTTGGGGGAGTTAGATAGGCATTTAGGCCACGTTTGTTTGGCAGATTAGATTGGATGGGATTATTAGTAAGAGGATTGTTAGTGAAGAGATTGTTAATGTGTGGATTGTTAGTGAGGGGATTAAGTAAAAGTGTGTTTGTTTTGATGATAGTGTGGGAGATGATTAGTGATGGGATTGTTAAATTATTTTTATATAAAATAAATAAATAAATTATTTCTATATTAAAAAAAATTAAAACAAATATTAAAACAACTAAGAGCACTTGGTAAAAAAAAATAAAATTAAAATAATAAATTTTTTATATAAAATAGACTCAATCCCCTCACTATTTTCCTAATCCCACCTAAAATTCACCCAAGCTAATCCCCCAACAGAGGGGGATTACTAAGCCCCCTTCACTGCTAATCCTATCACATTGTGTTGCATCCAAACAAGGGTTTGGTGGGTCCCACGGATTGCTAATCCAATCCACCCTCCCAAATCCCCAATCAAACATGGCCTTAAAGTTGTGTTTCGATTATGAATTTTAATAAAAATTTAAAAAGAAAAAAAAAGTAAAAAAAATGTGAACAAAATATAAACTTTTTATTTTTGATTTTTATTTCCTTTGCCTTTTCTCTTTCTTTTCCGCTTTCCTCTTCAAACCACATAAAGAAAAAAATTATTAAATGCACTTCGAGATGAGTCCACACCAATCACCAATTGAAATATCTCATATTGTCTTTCCAAATATTAATTATACAAACAAAAGTTATATATCATTCACATTCAAGACTTTAAAATAGCAAGCAGTGACCACCACTTCTCCACTTGAAGAGGTAAATGAACTCTCACAGCGTACTGCCAAGTTTGCAAACAGAGTGTGCTTTAAAAATCCTGACTCACACCATAATTCAAATGCAAAGAACATTTTCAACCAAAAGAGAGTAGCAGTAAGGCTTCATAAAGAATGTTGGTGATGACTTTGTTCTCACAATTTAATGTGTTGGACCCCTCTACTCTACTGACCTCCTTCTAATTCTCTTTACAGTGATGACTTCATTCTCACAATTCAATGTGTTGGACCCCTCTGCTCTACTCACCTCCTTCTAATTCTGTAAAGATTAACCTTAAATTCTTTCATTTCAAATTTATTACTTGTCTAAATGAAACCAAAGTTAATAAGAAGCAGTTGGGGTGATTTACAATATTAAATGATATATATCATCAATATAATTTGGCAATATAATTTTTGAAGCTGAATTTCAATAGATAATTTCAACAAATAAATTTTTTAACAGATAATTTCAAAAGATAATCAAAAAAAATTAAACAGATAGATATTTGAACCACTAGTCAAAAAAATTAAAAGATAGATTAAAGGTGTAAAATTATAAATAAAATGTGTTCCAAAATAACAAAATGTATTTTTCACCACAATATTTGATAAAGAGTATACTTTTCACCCCCACCCCCAAAAAAATACTCAAAAAAAAAAAAAAAAACTCATGAGACCTAATTACACCCTCTTTAAAATGAAATTTTCATCAATTTTCTCTAATAATAATAATAATAATAATAATCTCCTGAACTTCTTTTAACGAGCAAAATAGTTTAGAGATATTTTTATTTTGTTATTTACTTTTGAACTTGTTAAATTCACATAATTTTTTCCTTTTATTTTGATCTTATAAAATACTTCACATTCGCAACCATGCTAATGAAGTTCAGACGCATGGCACGTGTCACCCAACCCAAGTAACCTTTGTAAGTCTTCAAGGCTTTCTGAAAAAGAAAAAAGAATGCAAGTCTTCTACATTCTATAATTCCTCCTAATTTCTACCCTTCAATTCTCTCTCCCAACCAATTCGAATTAATTACCCTACCCACCACCTTCTCCACCATTATAAATATGGATGGATTTCCATAAAGAAATCTCAAAAATCTTGAGTTGGGTGTGAAAAAATGAAATTCATCAATCTAGTGTTTCTTTTGGGCTTGCTCTGGACGCCCGAACCAGTTACTTGCCAAAGACCTTACAATCAGTTTCAACTTGTCCAAGCTTGGATACCGACATTTTGCAAGAAATACAGTCGTTGTTTTCCGAATTTGACACCAAACTTCACCCTTCACGGCCTTTGGCCAGCTACAAGAACCGGGAACTCAGTGTTGAATTGTGGCAAGGGGAACGATTCTAATATTCGACCCGAGGTAATAAAATCCTTTCTTAATTAAACTTAAATTGTTGTTGTGCTTCATTTCTCCAAGTGTTACAAATTTGATTTGATTGATTATTATTAAACAATCACAACTATCCAATTACTTATGGCTTATTTTCTTAATTTATTTATTTATTTATTTTTCTTGGTTTGATATGTATTGCATTTGCAGACAATGGCCTCAGCGGCTCCTTTGGCCAGCGCATGGCCGAGCATTATAATTGGCAGAAACGATTCAGACCTTTGGCAGTATGAATGGGACAAACATGGGACTTGTTGTTTGTCCAGAATGACGAAAATGAATTACTTTCTGAGCGTAATCCGAGAAAGAAATAAGATGGACTTGCTCAGCATCCTAGGCAATGCCAACATAGTACCGCGCTCTGATGTATCGTATACCAAGCTTGATCTCGAAAATGCTCTTACTCAGTTCACTGGAGTGGGAAATAGCATTTACGTTTCATGCTATGCTCTTAACAACACGCATGTGCAACTGTTTGAGATTTAGACTTGTCTCAACTACCTTGCAACCCAAGTGATTCCCTGTCCAGTAAGTACCAAACAAAGGGGTTGTACCGGGAGCATTGTATTTCTCCCGTAGTAGTAGCAACTTATGTTGGAATAATTAGTGTGCTTGATGAACCGCAACAGTGTTTTATTAAAGTAAATGTTTGAAATTGACTATAGCATGCTATGTTGGTTCATTCAATTTTTTCTTTGCTAGATTCATTAACTGTTTATCAACTTGAAATTGCAAAAAATTTCTTAGTTTCAATAGATTGTGAAATATCTGTTGTAGAAATGTCTACAACACCCCAAATGATAAAATGGCCCCAGAACCAATCCACTCCCGGAAGAAATGGAATAGTGATGAAAATTCTCCAAAAGCTACAAAAGGGTTCAGAAAGCTTCTCTTGAATAAAAATTGTAGCAAGGGATGGGGTTCAATATATTTCACCACCACTCCACTTACAAAATGTTTTGTTACTTGAATTGCTCTTCACATAATCTTTCTTGTACTCTGTAAATGCGGCTACTAATTCATCATAGTCTGGAAGCTTTGGGTGGACATAGCTCAACTGAGGCCGACTCTTCATCTTCTTCCATTTCCTCCAAATGAGCATGACATGAGCTACAAGAATTGTGCATTAAAATCCCTTCCTTGACTATCATGTTTTGATAATTCACTTCGTTCTGATGTTTTGATAATCCATCATATTTTGCGCACGCTCCATCTTTCTTGATCATGGCATTGCGTCTATGTGCTAAACTCTTCTTCTTCACGAAACTTTTACCTAACATTTCTATCCCATGATTCCAAACTATTAATTTCATTTTTGCCACTGAAATCTTCTTTGTTTGATAACTGATCTTCCATGTCATCGAGGTAGACAATGGCTGTCTCTTGAATTGGAGGTGAACTATCTGGTGTGTAGTCCTATTTGATTAACTATCATAAGAATCACAAGGAAAGGTCACCAAGCTCCTAGAATTGGTGCAAGAAAATCTTGATCCAATTCTCCAGAACTTGTCCTTCATTTTTTATTTCGGCATTTGATCACTATCTTGAATTACCAAATCAAAAGATTGATCTTTATTTCTAGTTTCACATTTTTTTTCTCCAAAAAACTGGGAGCTACAAGTTAAGAAAAACAATTGTTTTAAGTCCGAGATATTTGTAAAAGAAAAATTATTCAATAGTTTCAAAGCATCCCGGGAGCACCACCGTGGCATGTGCACATGGTGCTCCTAACCAATTAGGCTGTACAAAAAAGACCAATGAGGCTAACCTTGTCTCTCACCCAACAAACCAAGATAAATTTATAAATTTATGAGTATAATAGATGAGAATAAAAAAGGGGAAATTACTATTGGGTAATTTCAAAAAATATTTTAAATTTATGCAAAATTTTATAATTTTAATTATTAATATTTATAATTTTTATCATTTATGTGCGATTATTTTTTAAATAATACACTGCACTGAAATTTTCCCAATAAAAAATACAAAAATATAGTGATTTCTCATCTATTTATGTAAAAAGAAAATCATGATTGTGTGTTTTCTCCCTATATTTTTGGATGAGTAAAATAATAAAATATGTGAGATACGAATATGAGTGAATTTTTTTTTTCTTCTTTATTGTGTATTTTAATGGACAATCACGATATTATAATTTTATTTTTATTTTATAACTAACCAATTTGTTTCTTTTCAGTTTTTCTTATCACAATTTCTCACCAAATTTATAAATCAAATATAAGAAAATTTCTCTTTCTATTCATTTCTTACCAAACCATCTCATCCAAATAAACTATATAGTTAAATGGACAGCGAAAAAAAAAGTGATAAAAATAAAAGTTAAATGTGTCACTTTCTCTTCTTTGTACACATAAAAGTTAAAGTTAAATGTAAACATAAATTTTATGAAAATCAGACGTGTAAAACAAAAGAAATGAAATTTTACAATTATGAAACATTGAAAAAAAAATAAAATAATTACTTTATACATTAATTTGGTTGTTATGCACAAATGACAAAGAACAATGACCAAAATGAAATAAAATTAGGGTTAAATAGGTAAGGGACCAACAAATACACAAAAACTAGATAGCAGATCTAGTAGATACACAGCATAGAGGCACAAAGTGAAGCAGAGTTTGCTCCCAGCCAATGGTGGCAGGCCAGAAGATGTTATGCAAACCAGCAAAGCAAGATAGATACATAGAAACACAGACAGGACAGAAACCAGCATACTACCACTGAGACAGATAGATACATAGCCAGCACTGGAGCAGGTAATACCCAAGCCAGCAAACCAGCACACCAGCAGACTCCAAAAGCCACCCAAAACACCAAAACATCAACCAGCCAATGACAGAACAAGTCACAGCAAATGGTGGCAGACCAAGGTACCAACTAGTTAGTAGCCCTCAACTGCAGACCTTAAACTGCTGCAGATACAGAAATACGCAATAGCAGAGCTTGCACAAATAGATACAGTACAACATAGCTATGAAGACAGAAGTGTTGTAGCAGAACAATCAGTACCAGAGCAAGCACCAAGGTAAAAGACACCAAAGTGATAATATTCACCACACACAAGCAGCCCCAACACAGGTTACCAGATTACAGATGTACCAGGTAACAACATAAACACCATAGAAGCATAATACAACACAGATGCAGCAGAGCAACAAACAGAAGCAGGGGCAAACACACTTAACAGCAGAGGGATAAAAGGTGATTCCATAGATAATGTTGTTAGTATTTATTAGAATTAGAAATAGTTTTACAACATAAATTATAACTTATAAAAAATTTCTTCAATTTAATGATAAATATCGACAACTTCAAACGACTTATTTGAAATCATTGATAAGAGGTGGAATCTTCAGACGAGTTATTTGAAATCCAAGTTTACAATTATTTTTTTGTTATGCTAATTAATGAATTTTTGATGGCGAATCGATCGACCCATCTTAACACAAAAAACAAAAAAACACGAGAGTGATCCTGATTTGACTTGAATTTCATTCAACCCAAGTTGAAATAACATTACAGAAGCTTATGGAAGTGAGGCTAGCATGTTTGGCCCACTGAGCCACTCTCCATTTGACATTAACACTCAAATCCTTAAGATTAGGCTGACTCCCATTGAAGATTCAATGGGAGTTTCTCTTTTCCATATGTCAAACTAACACCTCCAAACAAAACTGGTTGCATCAAAACCACCAGTGTTTTTCTTTGTCATGTTATTGTTTCGCACCAAACCAAACATGTACATTGGAGAAGACTACTAAAAGGTACCCCGCCACCATTGTTGTTTTCTTTCCCATGGAGAACATCTCCTTTTAATTAGTCACCAATGAACAACAAACAAATATTTTAAACAAAAGAAAGCTCCAAACAAAGTAAGATTGGCTATGTCATTCTCCTTTCGTGTTCATGGGGTGTGTTATGTACTATAGTTCAGAACATTCAATAAAGTTATATCACAATTTGTAAAAAAAAAAATTTGTAAGTTATGTACTATAGTTCAGAACATTCAATAAAGTTATATCACAATTTGTAAAAAAAAAAATTTGTAACTTCCTATAATTAATCACAAAAATTTCTAAAGCTTACAAAGTTCTTTCTTTAAATTTTAACAATTCACCTATCAGGTGTACAGACACCACTAATTTTAATTTCTATTTGATTAATTAATTACTCAATGAAAGTGAATGGATATGAGGTAGTAGGAGCATCCATGATCCCTTAAAAGTGCAAAAGAAGAAAAAAGATAAGTGAAAGAGACAGGTTTGGTGATCAATTTGCGCATGTTTGTTTGTGAGGAAATGAAGTTAAGGTGCTTCATGCACCTAATTACAGATTTTTGGATTAACATGGCTTGTTCTTCAGTGGTTTTAGTCACCGAGTCATTGTTAATTATTTTTCATGGGTTAATTGTATTTTTTAAATGAAAAACATTTTAATTGTGTCAAAGGTGATTCCATAGATAATGTTGTTAGTATTTATCATTAGAATTATAAATAGTTTTACTACATAAATTATAACTTATAAAAAATTTCTTAATTTTAATGATAAATATCGACAACTTCACAGTACAGGGATAAAAGGTGTTATTTGATTAGTTTAAAGTATACAATTTACACTTGGTGATTAAGAAAATTCATTCAATTTTGGCATACGTTAGTTATGATTTATATAGTTGGGGAGAGAAATGTATGTTTTGCTGTGTAGGCCAAGTGAATGAATCTTATAATAATATGTTAATTCATTGTACCTTATCAAATATGTAAGAGATAATAAACAATTAACAAATCATTGGTAAGAGGTGGAATCTTCAGACGACGTATTTGAAATCCAAGTTTACAATTATTTTTTTGTTATGCTAATTAATGATTTTGTGATGGCAAATCGATTGACCCATCTTAACACAAAAAACAAGAAAACATGAGAGTGGTCCTAATTTAACCTGAATTTCATTCAACCCAAGTTGAAATAACATTACAGCAGCTTATGGAAGTTAGGCTACCATGTTGATTAATTAACAATTGATTAATCAATAGTTAATTAACTAATTAATGAGCCGATTTAGCTGAAACAGAGACACATTTGGTCATATAGTGGGCTTTCAGTTTCACTTTCGAATCTAAGTGTGTTTTCGGATAGATGGGGGGCCACCCCCAATGCCTAACATAGCTTAACAATTACAAATTGCAATTACACGCAGCAGCTAAACAGATGAAACATCATGTCAATAGATACAGACCTCTCCCCTCTTTCAGAAACCAACCTGAATTTTTAAACCCTAAAATCATTAATGTACTCTACTTATTAATCTATGTCATTACCTTAATAATTTATTATACGGTGTACATATACGACGCCTATCCAATCCAAACACAATTCTATTATAAACACAGAAACAAACATATAATAGCAGTAAAGAAGTTGCACTCACTAAATTCAAAATCATAGATGGAATTTGCAGTGGTGATGGGTTATTGTGCAGGTGGTGCTGAATTAAGAGAACTTACATGCAAGTCCTAATAAAATTTGGCACAACAAAATGTCACTAATCGTCTTTTGCTAGAACCAACTTTCATGAAGAATTGATAGAACTTAATGAAAATTAAGTCTAAATATTAGGACCTACTAGTAATTTACCCTTGAATT